CCACAGCCAACTTGATCTCTCAAAGAGCCTAGTGCATACCCTGGTCTAAGAGAATGATTTTCAAAGACTCTCAAGCTCTTCGTTTTCTTTTTAACGGTAGCTGAAGGCAGTTCAGCTCCAAGTCCCTGCACAAGCTGTAGTACTTGCCAAGTCTGTCCGCTGCGCCCCTTGTGGGCTCGAAAGGCTGTGTTAAATGCCAGGTTGCTGGCATGAGGGCACAGCTGGGCCATGTAAAACTTCCTCCCACGGAAGCTCCTGCAATTCACACTCACCGTTCTTTTCTGTCTTGTGTCTAGGTGGCTCAGGCTCCGGGAGACACGGACAGGGCCCATCACAGAGGATGGTGAGGCTCTTGCCAGTGGAACAAGCATGGAACTCCAACTTGCACTGCAAAAGAGAGACAGAACAGGCTTTAAGAATGCAGCCAGGGGCGCCTGAGTGGCTCAGTCGGTTAAAGCTCCTGACTCTTGATCTCGGCGCAGGTCACAATCTCACAGTTCGTGGGATCGAGTCACGAGTTGGGCTCTGCATTGACAGCACAGAGTCTGCTTAGGGTTCTTTCTCTCCCAATCCCAATCTCACTCTGCCCCTCCCCCGCTCTCCCTCTCAAAATAAATAAACATTAAAAAAAAAAAAAAAAAAAAAAAAAAAAAGAACACAGCCAAGCAGACCACTATTTGGCTTCCCTAGGAAACAGCCAGTACCTCTCCAACTGGTTAGGCTCACAGGGAACAAAGAGAACGGAGGAGGCCATCTCAGGTAAAGGTTCACAGCGTACAATGCTAAATAAGAAATGGCCTTTTATGTCTTTCCAACTGTGTAGGGTAATATCCAAAATCACCACAGAGCACTGGAGGCCTTACTTTACTCATGGTAAATGCAAATTTAACTGCTAACATAATAAAAATATTCATCCGAAATGACGTCTTGGCGTCCCAAGGGTCCACAAAGACTCTCCCCCTCAGCAGAACGCCACCTCCCCAGGCTTTCTGACTCCTACCTAGGGTGCCTGTGCCCCAGTGCAGCATTCCTAGGCCATCTCAGCTGCTCACATGCTGAGCAGGAGTAGGAAGGCAGAGTAACCATCTAGTGAGCACATAGGCATGGTGTATGTGAGGCCCAGCCTCTTCCTGTCTGGGGCAAGCGAGGAGTGAATGCTTTCACTTCAACCATCCCAAACCTGAGTTTCACACACTCTTTCCCCCAGAGGATGCCTGTGGTTGCCTCTAGCCTGGGACTGAGTGGAGGCGCCCGCTTAATTCTCAGGTTCAGTGTTGAAGCCCAAAGGCCAAATCTCCTCTTGTCAACCCCTGGTCACCAACGGTGGCAGTATTTTGGCCACTTTCGGCCAGTTTTGCTCTTTCTGCCACTCTTATTCTCAAGTCTCAACTGATTCAGAGCACAAGCGAGAAAGGACGTTTGCAGGTGCAAGAGAGCACAACAATTTAATAGCATTTTTAGCAACCTGACATTAAAGAATAAGCAACCAACTCAGAGAGGTTAAATAACACGTAAAGGTCCACAATAGCCATAAAGGGAGGATTCAAAGCTGTGTCTGACTACAGGGCTAGATATTTGCTGGTCCCACAGCAGTGTTTCTGCCATAGGAATGGGCTTCTGAGAGCAGACATGCTGTACTGTTACTCCATGTCGCTACCGGCCTCGGTCTCAGTTGTCTGACCATCATTCCTTTTCCATCCGTAAAATTCTCAGGATCAAGACCTGTGTGTAATCAGCCTTGTGCTAAGGCCTATGGGCTTAGAACCGTGTTTCCATCCAGGGGAGGCTCAAAGGAAGAGGAGACTGGCCAAGTTTACTGAGCACCCAACTTTGTGTACAGTTCTTACCAGGGGCCATGGGGAAACTTTTAAAAGAATGAAAAGAGGGAAAACACAAATGCAAACTTGTGACCAGGCCACTGGCTTTTGCAAAGCAGCACATGTGAGTTCAGATGAACGCTGGCTCGTGGTGAGGGCGGAGCTACTGGGTCGCCATATGGATTGCAGACTTAGGGCCAGAGTGCTTCCAACCTGGCCCTGATTGCACTGAAGTCACTCGGTGTAACTCCAACTGTCACCCACACAGCGGCTACTGGTGTGGAGAGAGAGAAACAGACAAGCCGACAGGGAGATGACTTCCGCTCGATGCAACTGCCTTTTGTACAGATTTGTTAGGCATCCAGTGCCCAGTGTGGTAGCAGCAGGGGTGGGGACGGTATGAAAGGGGGCCGTGGCCCAGACCTCCAACTTCAACAGACTTAACAAGAAGGCAAAAAAGAACACGTCCTTCTAAAGCCATGTGGCCAGATATATATGTTTTCACTCATATGTGGACCTTGAGAAACTTAACAGAAGACCATGGGGGAGAGGAAGGGGGAAAAAAGTTACAAACGGAGAGTGAGGGAGGCAAACCATGAGACTCTTAAAAACTGAGAATAAACTGAGGGTTGATGGGGAGTGGGAGGGAGGGGAAAGTGGGTGATGGGCATGGAGGAGGGCACTTATTGGGATGAGCACTGGGTGTTGTATGGAAGCCAATTTGACAATAAATTATATTAAAATAAAATAAAATAAAATAAAATAAAGCCGTGTGGCCAGGATTGTGAAGGGAGGCAGGAGTCATGTGTACGTAGAGATACAGCACAAGAAAAAGACCCACAGGAGTGGGATGTGCCTGCTGACCGCTTGATGGACAGAAGACAAGCCAAGAGGAAGGCAGGAAGGGGGCAGGTGGGTCACCTGTGTCAGAAAGCTCTTCCAAATAGTGCAGCCTGTGAACACGTGCCCGGGGCTAGAGAGAAGACTACTGTGGCCAGTCCGGCCTCCTTCCACTGCCCCAGTGCTCTGGAACAATCCTGTTTAAGACGAGCAGTTCTCCAACTATTTTCTCAACAGAACTCCTAAAGCTCATTTAGGGGAAACGATACATTTGTACGTGAAAATGCATTTTATAAAGGCAAAACTTAATACATTTATTATAAAGCCTTATCCCCCTGTTACTATGATCACCTGTTTGTATCTGTGACAGGTGTCATACTCTTCCCAAACATTCTCCGGTCACCCTGAAAGACGAATCTATGCTTCGTGGGAAATGGGCTTCCCCTCCCTGGTGACATCAGTCCTGGCCACGTAACTTGTTCTGCCAGTGAACCGTGAGTAGGCGTGACAGGCCAGGTTTGAGCAGAGGTTTCAAGGACCACTTCTTGGTTTCATCACCCCTGTTACTCTTCCCTCTACCATGAAAGGACATGGGACAGATAAGGGCTGCTCCTCTGGCCTGAGACACAGAGGGCATGGGACCAGAGCTGCAGCTAACCCACGGCTAACATGCAACATGAGCCAGGAATTAATGTTTGCTCTCGTAAGCCACTGATGTTTAGAGATCCTTTGTTACTACACATAATTTACTAAAAGGTAACAGCGTTGACTTCCTACTAGGCCATGAGGTACTTATCAGCTGGAAAAGGTCTAAGTCACTGTGTTAGCCCTGGCATGTAGTAGGTGTTCAGTAAATAGCTGCTAAATGGCAAAGACAGAAGGTGGTGTTGCCCACTGTGCTGCTCTAAACCTGTTCTGGGGCCACCAGGAGTGACCAATCTGCTTGCACAAAGAACGCGAGTGCTGCAGCTCCATATTCGGGATCTCCACGGTGAAGCATTCTTGACCCGCACCTGTCGCCTGAGTCCTCTCTGTGAGTTCCACATCCAGCCCCCGGCCTTGCCGCCTCCCCACTCACCCCCATCTATTGCTGGAGTCGGAAGCTTGTCCATCTGCTTCCCAGCTGCCCCGAACACTTGTTCCCCTGGGTGGCCTGGTCTCGCCTGAGAGCCCCTGTGGACTGTAATTCTAGTAACTCAGCTTCCTTGGCTGGCCGCAGGACCCCCTCTCGTGTACAGCCGCTGTCACAATCTGTGGAGGCAGCCTGGCCTCATCCCTGACCCCAGGGAGGTGCCACCAGAGAAAACAAGATTTATCTGCACCAGTGAAAAATCCATGTTTCAAGGGCACAGATCTGCTTTTTTTTTTATCTCCCAGGACAGTATGTGGCATTTAAATGAAGCTCAAAGGGCTAGAATTCCATTTTTTATAAAGATCAAAACACGCTACTTAGAGATACCTATAAATGAGTAACTACATATGGGGGGTAGGGTGGCGAATGCCAAGATAGGGGTTACCTCTGGAGCAGGGGCAGGAGAATGGCATCCCACAGAAATGCTGCAAAAACGGAGAATGGTTTATTTCACAAGCTTAGTGGTAGATTCTGAGGCTTTTCTTTTGTTTCTGGGCTTGGCAACTGAGATAAATAAGACACGTACATTCATGTGTATCAAATATCTTACGGTAAAATATGAAACAAAGTTTCCATGCTTCTATCAAAGTGACAACCAAGCTCTACCCATGCCTCCCAGCTCTGAACCAGAGTCCCGGACTGCCGCTGGGCAGAACATGCTCAAGGCACCTCACACACGTTTCCTTCTCAGAGCGCTTCACGAAAGTGAACCCAGGAGGCGACCCGCCCAGTCTCTCGCCCACCCTCTGTCTCCCCCAGGTTCCTGCTGGGGAAGAAGAGTCACAGATGCCAAAAGGTAGTCACCGCACCGGCTTTACTCACAGGGGCCAGAAATGTCCCCAAGTATAGAGCTTCCTGCTAGATGGGGCCGTACAACCTGACTGAGACCTTCACGCCAAGCAGAGGCCTCCAACTCCTTCTCCCAATCTGCAGGAAACACACGCCCGGCAAAGCCCTAGCCATTCACCTGGATACACAAGCGGAGAGAATGCACAGACCTGGCTGGGCTTTGCACACGGGTGCCCTGGGCTGTGCACACACAGATCCTGGAAACACAAGGCAGGTGTGCTAGCCCTTGAGGACAGGGCTGCCAAGAGAACGGGGCCAAGAGAACAAGAGCCAGCCCATGTTACTTTGCCAATGCAGTGATCCTGTGAATGTGCTCCTGACCCAAGAGACACTAGGCTCCCTCCCTTCGGGACATAAGCAGCCTTTCTTGGGCAAGAGGAAGCAACGGTCACAGCGTGAGAGTGAAAATCTCCCAGAGAGCCATGAGGAGGGAGAAGGAAGTGTCTCCTAACACCACAGAGACATCGGTGGCTCCCTTCCCAAATGACAAGCTTTCAGGATCGCCACACCTTCTCTCTCTTACGGAGTGTCCAAAGCTGGAGTTACAAACTGACAACATGATACATGGTGATTTCTTTGCAGTAAAGACTTTGCAGTAAGCATTTATCCCCTCCTGCCACGTCTGCCCTGCAAGTGCTGGGGCTACAGGCAGTCAGCCGGGCTTCGCTACCCGTGTCAGAACAGGGTCTGCAAAGTGCCAAGTTAAAGAGGATAGACTGGGAGCCTACTTCTTAGAATCTGTGGCTTGG